TATATATATATATATATATAATTTAACAATCGTCATTACAGAGCCCCACAGCGTATACACGGTGTAGTTCCCATACGAGTTTCACGACAACCCCAACAACTCCACAACACTTGACGTCCATGAAGTACATCTTCACGGTGTGGAGGTAGACTTAACTGTGGATGAATGCCTTTTCCTTTTTTCTCTTCTCTCCACCACTGCTGTGATAAGAAACCACGAGCCACAATGTATGTTTCTTGACTCTCCGGTTTACATTCTAATGGTTTGTGAACATTTACAGAACTAAAGTATTTTTTTGTAGCTTCTAATATATGATTAAAATGTGTAGAATGCATTGCCTTGGTGACAAATGTAAATAGATGAGACTCTTTCCATATTTCACGTTGAATATCTTCTTTTTTTCTTCTTTTTATTAGTTGTTGGTGTGTGGATTGTGTTTGTGAAAAGAAGAGAGAACACGCCAGTCGTAAGGCTCCCAAAGCCATTTGATTTTGTCCATACGTTACCGAAAGTGAAGAGTGTGTCTTTACAACAGAGACACCATCATGAAGTACCACCTGCACAAATCTACACTTTCTACTATTATTATTATTATTATTATTATTATTATTATTATTATTATTATTCCTTCGGGTAGTATCTTCTTCTTCTTTTTCTTTTTCTTCTTCTTGTAGTTGTTGAAGTATCTTCTTTGTGTATCCCATCACACGTCTGTGATCATTGATATCACACTGAATAGAGAAGAGACCATCCATCGGTGTAATCAAACGTTGATCAAACGCAATCGCAACAGGAGGAGAAGAAGAAAAATAAGAGAAAAAGTCCATAGAAGATTTAGACAACGCCGATCGCATTTGTTGAAGGGCCACTTGAGAAAATCCCCCGGGAGCTGCGGCGAGATCTACTACAGTGTGAACATCAGATGTAAAGAGATGATAGTTTACATCAAGTTCTAATAATTTTAACGCGGAACGGCATCTATACATACAAAAAATTATATCCAATAAGATAATAGTAATAATAATAATAATAATAAGGATAGAATTAGCAAAGAAAAGATCGAGGATTCCTTGCTAGAAAAAAAAAACTATGAGAATGAATAACATATTTGTAGAGAAGAAACAAAAGAAAAAGAAAGAAAAGGGAAAAATAGAAATAAAAAGTGTATGAACAAGTACAAATATACAAAAAACATTCTATCTCCATTCCACCACCTCTCTCTCTCTCTCTGTTTCCCTTTACAAACATAAATATATATATATTATGAGAAATAAAAACATACGTAATATGTTAGAAAGTCAATGTATTTCACTCTGTCAACCGCAAGGGGCGAAATAAAAGAATGACAGCAAAACAAAAACAAAAAAAAAACAATCAAAGGAGTACAAAGTTAAAGAGGAGCAAAAAAAAAAAAGCTATATATATATATAAGCCTATTAAATGAAAAAGGAAAAAAAAAGAAGAAAAAAAAATGGTACAGGAATAACGTTCTATGTAAAAAGAAAAACCCCCACCCCTCTCCTCAAACATCATTTATTCCCACGATGTGAGAGGTCTTATGGGAGGCAAAGGAGCAGCAGCAGCAGCAGCTGATGATGATGATAAGATCGGTGTAGAAGAAGAAGAGATTTCCTTCTCACGTAAGATATCAACAGTTGGTGTAGAGGGCCAATGCATTACCGAGATCACATACCGTAATGTCCATCCAAGACTTTCATCCAATACTTTATTATAAGCATTATTATTATTATTATTATTATTATTATTATTATGAGAAGAAGATGTAAACATCTCATCACGTGTCCGCCTGCGGGATACAGATCGCATTCCCAAAGAACCAGGTAGAGAAACAGAATCCCCATCCCCATCAAAAAGACGTCGTACACTTCGTTTACTTTTCTTAACACCATTAGAATGACGTGAACAGGAAAAGGATGAGTGTAAATGGCTTTGATAAGAGAGATCATGTGCCAAGGAAAGCGGTGAGGCATTATATTCACTGTTGAGAGTATTGGAATGTGGATGGGTTGTAAAAAGATTCCTCTCTAACTTTGACTGAAATGGTGAACTTGGCACTACCGTTGTCCACGGCACAGTTTCACTGCTATTATTATTATTATTATTATTATTATTATTATTATTATTATTATTATTATTATTATTAACAACAGAAGGTCCTCCTCCTGTAAACATACGTCGAGATGCAAGAGAAGGGCCAAGAAGAGGAAACGACACGACGGAGGGTAAAGGGAATGAAGTTTGCGGATCCTGCAGTTTAGATAAATGTCTATGCTTCTCCGATGAAGAAGGAGAAATATGTCGTGGATGACGTAAAGAGGAAAAAGAAATAGGATCCATATAATAATGATGATGAGGATGGTGAGTATGATGATAAGGATCAACAAAGCCATTCTTTGGAGAGTTTGATATATTTCTATTATCGTGATGTTTATTTTCTTTTCGTTTTTGTATTTCTTTAAGGAGTTGATGTTTCCGCTGCCGTAGTCGAAGTTCCTCTGTGTCCAATAAAGAGATAACACCCCACAATAGACGTGATGGGGTATTTAACATTTTAAGTAAAACTTGAATAGATGTCCTGTGAAGTGCAGCCTGCAAAATATTCCATATATTATCAGAAATATCATGAAACCCATTTGCTCGATATTCTTGAAATGAAACTTCATTAAGAATATCAATCGTTGTAGTATTAATAGTATTAATAGTATTAGTAGTAGAAGAAGAATTATATTCATGATTTAACATATCACTCGTATGTGTATCTGTTTTCTTGCTGTTCTCTTTACGTTTCAATATACACTGTGTAAGAAGATGTAGTATACCCTTTGCAAATACAAAGATATCCATTTCATAGGGAGTGAAGTTCTCTTTATTCTCCATAATAGATGGTAAAAATATATCTGGTGTACCTACAGGATATTCATTTGGTAACTTTACAGCACTTCCAAAGTTACCAAGTTTATAATGTCTCTGAGAATGTATAAATAAATTAAAGGGAAGTGGATTTCCATGAATGATATGAACACTATGAAGGGCATCTAATGCTAATAAACCCTGTTGTAAAATAAGAAACCAAACATCATTTGTTGGTACAGTGTAAGGAATACCACGTTGAATTTCATTTGGATCTAATGCCCATTCCATTACATTCCCAAGAGGAAAATACTCTATCTGTAATAAAAACATCACATTATCATTATTATTAGATCCTCCATTTACAACACTATAAGGAGATACGGTATAATATCGAACAATATGATCTGCGGCTTGTTGTTGTAATGGTGAAATAGGAGCATTTCCAAGTGTTAAACACTCCAACTCTGTTTGAAAAGAATCCTTATCTGTAAAAGGTATTTCCTTTACAGCATAAGGAAGACCATCTATGCGATGGGTCGCAAGCCAAACAACTCCATTGCGATCCAAATGAATAGGAATAAAAGAATACATTTTTCTCCATGGTATCCAATGAAGAAATTGATAACGATGATGATGTCGAAAACGATCTCCAGGTTCAAACTCATCATCATCATCATCTATAATAGATACCAATGAATGATAATCATTTTCCTCCTCTTCATTTTCATGTTCAGCATGTGTTATTATATATCCATCATTACTTTCTGTATATCTCGTAGAAAGTGTACCATTCAATGGCTCTTGTTGTTGTGATTGTTCTTCTTGTTGTTGTTGTTGTTGTTGTTGTTCTTCGTCTGCTAAGAAACTGAGAGCATTTATATTATGATCTATCTGTGAATCTCCATTCGGCATATCTGTAAAAAATACAGATGTACGTTCTGTATGATCATTCACTGGCAAACCACTTTTTCCATCACGTAAACCAGAGCCTGAACTCCATCTAGGCACGGAATTCAAAATACTTAATCCAGCTCTAGGGGATTCTTCACCCAACGCTCGAGAAACTTCTAGTCCAGTAAAACTGCATGTGGATCTAATATATCGCGGTGATGAACCCGTAAAGGAAACATCCTCTGTTGAGAAATGTAATGGTGCATCGCAGTCCCCAAACTCCGTTTGTAATGAGACATTATTACTTTCCAATGAATGGCTTTGATTATTACAAACATAATTACTTGATTGTTGTATTCCACCAAAATGAGAAGTCATATGTGGAGTATTCTTACAGCTACCAACCTTTTCTTCTTCTTCTTCTTCGTTTCCTTCTTCACAAGTATTACCAGTTTGAACAGATATTTCTACTTCTGCAGTCATAGCGGAGGTATTCTCAATATCATGAGAAATATCATTAAAGGAGTAACTCATATTATCTTGACCCTTCTTTTTAGAATAAGAATATGTAGAAGCACATACTTGTGAAGATGGTACATTAGATGTTGGAACGGTTTGGGCAAACAATACAATACAGGCTTCCGCACGCTGTGGTGTACAGTACTCCATTCCTTCATTTATATTCATTGAGGAAACACCAGAGCATTGACGATTAACATTACCACCATTACCACCACTACTACTACTATTACTATTACTTCTATTAACACTATCCGCAAGTAAGGCAGTTGCTGTATTCATTCCAATGGTATCCACTAACTTCAATGGTGGTGTGAGTCCCCACGTACCTGCATAATCCCGATAAGGTGAACATGGATTTCTATTAGGTGCAAGAATATCTACATGACTTCCACTTCTCAACATTCCAGATGCGGGGCCTGGTGAAGCCCCACCAACACTCACAGATGGAGTACCGCGTCTATGCACAGATGGTGTTAATAATCGCGTGGATGGTCGACGTGCAGATTTATGTGGTGTTAATGGTACATGTGTGCTGTGTGGCGTTTGTGCGGCGGAGCATGGAATAATATTATCAGGTGGTGTGTGTGGAGAAAAGGGAAGTGGTGTGGAATCTATAAACACACATGTAGACTCTACCGCATTCATTCCATGAATTTCACTTCTACTGTTACTACTATATATACAACGTGATTTTAATGGTGAAAGATGCATAGGACCATCTGGTGTGGTGTGAATAGTATTAAATATACTCATACTAGACTCTGGCCCATGAGTCGCATCAATAAATTCCGTTTCCAAACGTACAGAAACACCAACAGCATCATTAACATCACCACGTTGAAAAGTAGGCAAGAGAGAGTGTTTTTCAGTTTTATATAGATGTAATGAGTTAAAATGGTTTCTCTTACATTGAGGAGTATTCTCTAGAGATTCCGAATGATCTTCATAATAGTATTGTTTGGATATCTCTTCTTCTTCTTTTTCTTGTTGTTGTTGTTGTTGTTGAAAGAAAGTCTTAGACTTCAATGGTGTGCGAGGAGAGTTGGATTGCTCTAATATATGTCTGGCTGTTGTGTGAGGCCAAATTTCAGTTGGGGATGAACGCAATTCCTCCTCGTATTCTTGAGCACTTACAATGGATGAACACGGAGACTCCATAAGCCGTAAACAAATCAATACTCTCTTTTCTCTCAGAGAAAAGAAAAAGAAGTATGTATATATGTATATATATATATGTATGTATGTGTGTGTATTACTCTTCCTACGGTTTCTTTAATTGGTTTCTATGCTATCTTCTTCTTCCTCTTCTTCGTACCTCCGCAACTATTTTTTGCTGTCAATAAACAATTCAAACATACATAGAAATTGTCAGCCATGTATAAACACATAAGCATTAAGAAAATAAAAAATAGAGAAAGAGAAGAAAAAACAGGGAAAAAAAATATATATATCAGAAAAAAAAGAGACTAATTACATTAGATACGAAATTTAAAATGAAAACGATAATATATATCGTTAAAAAAATACTCGGACTCACAAAGTAAAAAAAAAAGAAACCATAATAATGGAAGAATGTTAAATGCTAAATCATAATAATAATAATCATAAAATACAAAAATGATTCCGTTAATACATAGGTACAAATAAACAAGAGAAAAAAAAAGGTACAGTAGCACAGTGTAATAAAATAAAAAAAGAAGAAAAACAAACACTATGCCAAAGCCTCAAAGAATTTTAACGCCGCCTCACGCCATTTAATGAGTTCAGGATTTGTATTTATACCACCTAAGCTCACAGAACCAAACACAAGAAGTCCTAATGTTGTAAAATCAAATTCTAAGAAACCAGAGGCAGTGAGAAGAGGTAAAATAACATCTAATACAAATGCATACAATAAAGATTCTGAAACAATAGCAGCTGTAGAAGAAGAAGATGATGAAGAAGATGAAAAGGCAGCATCTTCCTTAATTCTCTCTAAGGGTCTTCTCGCATCTATATTACCCTTTAATATTCTTTGTTCATTCCTCGCACGTCCAAGTACAGTTTTGGATGCTTCTCCACCATTTGCAATTTCCTCAATTCGCTGACGTTCTCCCTCAAGAAGTCGCCTCATAGCTGGAATATCAGTAGCCAAAATAACCCCCTTCTGATCCACATCTATTAAATTAAATGCTTTTCGTAAGATTGTTGTACGTGTAGGTACTGGTTTCTTTCTCATAGGATTACGTTTCTTCTTCTCTTCTATTGCATCTACTTCTTTTGTCGCTCTTTCTACTTCCGCATGGACTCTTTCAGAAGATGATGCTTGAAGTATTACAGCTTCGTAAAACTCCTCACACTGTTGCTGCGTTAAACGCGAACCTGTAATGAAAAAGAGTGCATCTTTAGATTTAGGAGGCCAGACTATACTTAGGGATTGAGCCATCTTTGCAGCAGCAGTATTCCACTGAGAAGATTTATCACCAAAAGAGAATACCCCTTTATCTACATTATTCCTTCTAGAGGCTTGCATGTCCTTTTTTAAAGAAATTGAACGTTTTTTTTTCTCACGCATAATGTGCGTCGGTGATGAAAGGTTCTGTGAAGAAGAGGTACGCAAAACTGGTTGTGGTCGCATTTTATGTGGATATACATCCCTACTAGAAGGCATTGGAATATCATTACGTGTTGAACTCATTCTATTATTGTTATCTTGCGGAGTTCCTTTTCTATTAAATATATCCACAAATCCACTAAGTGTAGAAGCTTCTGTTGCTTGACGTCTATTCACACCTTCCATGACTTCAGGAATGGTATCCGCTTTACGTGCTTCTATTATACGACGGACGAGAGCCGCAATTTCCTCTCGTTGAATATCGTTAAACATTCTCCAATGTTCTGTGTACATCTTTGCTTGAATAATTCCATCTTCTAACGAAAAAAGTGAGGGTACTGATGGACCATTCATAGTGCTTGGGTATGGTACGGGTGCTACTCCCGCAGCATGGGGAGAAGATTCACCTGAATGAAAAGAAGATTCCATTTCATCCTTTGTTTCAGGTTGTAATTTTTTTTGTTCCTCCTTACCGTTCCCAATAGAACTCTTTCGTACTGGAGGTTTAACGCCATCAGAAGAAACGCTTGGGGGAACTGTTACATGAAAATGAGTTTTTGTCTCCACTTTTGCATTGGCTTGTAGAGTCTCTTCACTTTTCCCTTTGGTCTTAACAGAATTTGATTTTACCTTTCCTTTTGAAGAAGGAGGAGTAGTAGGTATTGTCTCATTTCTTTCTGTAGCGGATTGAGTACCACTGGAAGGAATATTCTTTCCCTTAGATGATCCAATAAGAACAGGCATAGAAGTAGCTTTAACCAATTCATTTTTTTCTCCTGTACTTGATAAACCTTGAGCTTTAGGTGGAGGAAGAGTTTTTCTTCTTGAAGATGGTCTTTTCTCCATTTTATCCTTCATTGATACTCCTGTTACTGATGATGACAGTGGTGGGTTAGCTACTGGAGCTTGAGTAGATGTATGCGGTACAGAGTCTAGTTTAGCTGCGTCCGAAACTACTGGTGCTTCCCCTTTTTTTTCTTCTTCTTCTTCTTCTCTTGCTTCACTTTTTTCAACAGTTTCAAAAACAATAGTAGAGGCACTACTATCAACATGATGACCATAGGTATCTTTAGGGGTAGCAAAAGGTTTATCCTCTTTTGTTGAAACCTTATTGGCAGGATCTTCACTTAATGGGTCATCTACAACATGAAACATGATGCTATCATTTCGGGAGATTCCAGCCTGTTCCATTACATCCTGCTGTTGTGAACTATTAGCACCCTCCACATGAAAGTTAATGGATTCATCAGCTCCTTCAATTTTCGGGTAATCCGATTGTCTACGACTCGAATCACATGAGTCTCGTTTGGATTCATTTTGAACAGTATTCAAAGGTGGATATTTAACAGGTGGAAGTGCAGGCATACTTGCAAGAGACAAATTACGGGAGGCACCCTCTGTGTGAAATTGAATACTCTCACTGTAATCTGAAGCAGCATCATCGTGCTCTGCTGCAACAACATTAGAGGTTCCATTGGATCGATGACGCTTTGGTGATGGTACCGCTGGATGTTGCATATCTCGTCTGGTTGATTGATGTAGTGGTGGTCTATTAAGAACAGGTTTGCTAGTCTTCATAGCCTCTTTATGAGAGTGAGAACTAGGTGGCACGGCACTCTTCGCAGACCCGTGGTCACTCTGCTCAAAAAACATGATTGAACCAGACTCACTCATTTTGGGGTATCGCGAGGAATATTTAATAAAAGTAGGTACAGAAAAATCCCCTTGTACTGTGGGAAGAGAAAAAAAACGAAAAAAAAAGAAAAAAAAGAGAAAATGTGTTGCAAAAAGAATAAAAGAATAGATATAAAAACAAATATAACAGCATTCTTTAATTTAAAAGGTGGAAGAAAAACCAATAAAAATCTTGATAAACACGTGACATTAGTAGTCCTTCCCTTCACCTTACTTTCAATATGGATTCCAGACATCGCAAAGATAACGGGGTCGAAAGACACAGAGTCACATACACGCATCCCTAAAGATAGTAAACATAAAGAGCAAAATGAGCGAAAAGATACAACAACGATTTCTCAAATTGTAAATCTCATGATATAAGATCCCTGCTACTGAAAAAGCAGAGTTGGCGTTGAAAAATAACATAATAGTCTTTCAATCTAAACATAGAGAGACACGTATTTTTTATTGTTTGCCTTGTAAAAATAGAGTTGAAAACCCAATAAACAGACGCTTTGGTTTTTAATAACGAAAGTTTGGATCCGTGGCTCTCAATCCATAGCCCATATTTGGGGGTGGTGGCCCCGGATACGGAGCCTGAGGTGGTGGCGGTGGTGGCTGATAATATCCCTGTGGTTGTGGTTGATAATATCCCTGCGGTTGTGGAGGTGGTGATGGTTGATAATATCCCTGTGGTTGTGGAGGAGGTTGTTGATAATACCCCTGCGGTTGTGGTGGTGGTGGTTGATAATACCCCTGCGGTTGTGGAGGTGGTGATGGTTGATAATATCCCTGCGGTTGTGGAGGTGGTGATGGTTGATAATATCCCTGCGGTTGTGGAGGTGGTGATGGTTGATAATATCCCTGCGGTTGTGGTTGTGGTGGGTACTGTACTGGAATACCTTGTGCAATTGCTGGTCCTACATTAGGATTCATGGGTGTATTGTTTGGATTGCTTGAAATAGTAGCAGGAGCCCCTCCAGTAGGCGGTTTAGCACCTGGTTTTAGTGCGGGATCATTATTAATATCAGTTGTTACTTTCCACATATCACTTGGTAATGGATCTTTCCCAAAGTCGCATGCTAACACACGAAGATGCAATTCAGCATTAGTTTTTGAATGAGCCAACATATACCACGCATCCTGTACCACTCCCCTCGTTAGGTTAGACAGTGAGAGATTGTAGCTTCCCATGATGTCATCCACAATGACATTTTTGTTCCATAATTCAATACATACCTGTACAGTGTTCTCATCTGCCACCTGGAAACGAAACGTCTCATTCCATACAGGATTAAGAGTATTGTCAATGACCTTCGTCTTGTATGATTTATCGCCAAGACGGACACGACAGTAAGGATCTGGTAAGCTTATAACTTGACTGTCGTGTAGATTACGCGCACCACAAATACATACCTGAAGCTTTCCCATTACTTTGAAGAAATAGTACGAACTACAGATCATAGAGAAAGAGAAAGAGAAAGAGAGAAGGATAAAAGAATAAAATACAGAGTAAATAGTAAATTATTAGAAAACAATGTTGCAGATAATAAAAACTAAAACCTAAAAATAAAAATAATAAAAATGGTATCATTGTATATGTATTTTCATTCCACAACGAATCTAAGAAATAGTAGTAATAATAGTAGTGGTAGTAGTAGTAGTATTAAAAAGGAATTGTGAGAGTATTCTTATGGTCTCCAAAAAACAGGTGTTGCCATGGGAACCGGCCTATTTGGTAATATAGAGTTGGAACCCATGGCAAAAGAATTATGCTGAACAAGACCCACACGCACACGCAAGGCAAATTGCACAGAGTATGACGATGCACTAGTTAAACGAACAACACGGTCTAAAACTTCACCTTTCCCTTCAAGTGGAATACAGAACTGATATTTGGCGAGGCAGTCATCAGAACTAAAGGTATTACGCCACAGTTCCAACATAACTGTGGGAATTCTGTACGGTGGCACCATCCATGGGAGTCCACGTGAGCCCAAATGGCTCTCACTCTCGAGTTGCTGCTGCTTCTGCTGCCGTAGATGAGGTAAGTCTGTTGTAAAATGTTCTCCCAGTCCACTGGAATACTGGGGAAAACTTGAAATAGGCCCACTTTCTATCACTGGGGCAGGAGTCACCGCAGAAATATGAGGAGAAAGCCCTGGTGGTGAGGAAGGCGTAGGCAGCGAAGAATGAGGATGAGGATGAGGATGAGGAGCGGAAGGAATAAGTGCAGTCGGTGTGTTGTCGAGGTGAAATACAAATAACTCGTTCCATGTCATATCATCACTATCGCCAAGAACGTCAGTTCGTTGGACAGTAGAGCCTACGCGTGCCACAACGTAAAGACCAGCACGCTTAAAATCCCCAGCATCTTCTGAAAGAACATCAAGATTAAGAATACGAATTTTAATTATAGAAGAAGGACTAGACATTTTAAATCTACACGGAAGGTTTTCTTTTTCTTTTTTTTAAAATAACAAGAAAGAAAAGATGGATAAGAAAAATAGATAGGACCTTTTTGACCCCCCAGTCAGCAAAAAGAAAAAAACAAAAAAAAAAACACTTTAAAAGCCAATGATAAAAGAAATGAATACTACACAATATAAGCAGCGCTTAATACGCTAAATTCAAAAAAAAAGGTAATTTACTACTCTTAATTTAAATATCTCGTAATGTGAAGTAAAATGAGATCTCATCAAGAAAAAGAAACGAATTCTCTCTTATTTGTTTTTCTTATTTATTATTTCGCTTCCTCATTTAGGAGACCTCTAGTTAATTATTTCTTTGTATTTGATATAGATACAAAATCTCTCTTCGCTGACCGTAGTAATACTAGACGAAGAGAAACCAAATACCAAGAAAAAATAATGGTTTTTATTATTATTATTATTATTTCATTTTTATTTCTACGTACGCTTTTTTCGGTCAGAGGGTCTCGTAGTGCGCCTCCCAAGATACCTTACCACATCATCATATGTCAACACCTCCTTTTCTAGCAAGTGTTTTGCCAGTATTGCCATATCTTCTTTTTTTGACATTAAGAGTTTGTAGGTGGTATCATACAATTCATCTACCAGTTTCTTTGCCTCCTCATCCATTAAATTTGCTAGTTTAGGTCCAAAAGGTTTCACAATGCGTGTTGAGGCACTCCCTGGTGCATCAAAGACTGCCCTCGACTCAAAGGCACTAACGTACATGTATGCCATCTGTGTCACCTTACGTAGATCATCACTAGCCCCAGTGGAGAGGTGATTAAAGAAAATCTTCTCTGCGACACGACCGCCTAATGTGACGCAAATAGAGTCACGCACTTCCACTGCAGTGCGCATAGAATTCTCACTTGGCAGGTACTGCGCGTACCCCAATGCGGACCCCCCTCTTGGGACGATGGAGACCTTCATAAGCGGATCAGCACGGTGTAGAAACCATCCAGCGACGGCGTGTCCAGCCTCGTGGTGGGCAACGACGCGGCGCTCGAAAGGCGTCAAGATGCGGCTGCGGTGCTCAACGCCGGCGAGGACGCGATCGACGGAGCGCTCGAGATGTCGAACGTCAACGTGAGTGGCGGCCTCCCGCGCGGCGAGAATGGCCGCCTCGTTGCAGACACTCGCGATGTCGGCGCCGACGAGGCCCGGGCAGAGATCGGCCATGCGGGCGGCGTACGCCTCGAGGAGGGCGCGTTCCCGGACCCCCCGCCGGGCGAGTCGGGCGGTGAAGTCGAAGGAGGCGTGGCCGAGCCGCCGCTCCTCCGCCGCCAGCCGCTCCCGCTCCGCCTCCAGCGCCGCCTGCACACCGCCCACCACCAACGCCGTGCTACCCACAACATCCCCACCACTACTGGGAGTCGTAGTAGTCGTAGTAGTAGTAGTAGTAGTGGGAGAAGTAGTAGAGATAGAGTTAGGGTCCTCCTTGGGATGGGTGGGGTTTGAGGAAGTGTCTTGGATGGTTTCTGTCTCTTTCTCTGTGTTAGTCGTTGTCTCCTTCTTTTTCTTTGCCTCTTCAGAGGAGGTCACACCATTAGAGACGGCGGTGTCCTTCATTTCATCCTCCTTGTCCACTAGCTTTAAACCACTAAGGTGGACCTTAAAAATATCCACTCGCTCCGAAAGGACAGGGACATCAATGTGAATAATACGATCAAATCTTCCAGGACGAATAAGGGCAGGATCTAACTGCTCTTGAGGAACATTACTTGAAGCAAGAATCATAACATCACCACGACTTGCTGTACTAAAACCATCTAATTGTGCCAAAAGTTCATTTAAAGTATGTTCCTGTTCTTGTTTTTCACCATGACCTGCTCCACTTCGCTTTAAACCAATTGCATCAATTTCATCAATATATACAACACAACGTTGTTTTTTAGCCACCTCAAATAACTGACGAACACGTAATGCACCCATACCTACATAAAGTTCAACAAAATCTGATCCACATACAGGAATAAATCCAACACCACTCTCTCCTGCAACTGCTTTAGCTAATAATGTTTTTCCTGTTCCAGGAGGTCCAAGTAAAAGAGCACCTGTTGGAATTTTTGCTCCTAATGAAGTATAACGTTCTGGATGGCGCAAAAAATCCACTACTTCTGTAATTTCATGTTTTGCTTCTTTCATACCAGCAATATCATGAAATCGTGTATTAGAAGTATGCTCCACGCGAAATACCATATCTTTAATTTTTTGTGATTTTTTTCCTGCCTCCATAGTCATTGTAAGTGATTTTCCAATAGAATTAGAAAGAATCATTACAAAAACAGGAAAAAATACAAATGGTACCACCCAGGCAAATATACCAAGTCCTACAAGTGCTGTTTCTGCTAATGGTGTACCTTTTACTACTAATTCAAATGTTCCAGAGTTGGAATCTTCTGAATCTTTTTTTTCTAATTTTGCTTTTATTTGTGCGGTACGCAATTGATCCAATCGTTCTTGAGTATGTTGATCATCCACTAATCCAAGATATACTTTGGCATCCTCCAAGTAAACTTGAGCATAATTATGATAGAGATGAATACTCTCAACAAGATCCGCATGTTTAATAAGTGAAGCCCAGCCTGTTTGTTTACCAAATGGCTTTGATAACTTATACAACACATACGATACTCCAAACATAACCAATACAAAAAGCAAAGCACGTGCTAAGAGAAATTCTTCATTACCATCATCATCTGAAGATTTTGAATCATCCTTATTACCATCATTTTTCTTCTTATTACTACCTTCATTCTGTTTAGAACCATCTCCATCTGGTTTCTTTGATAGATCTGCATGTTTAACTCCCAACATCGTTCGATATGTGAGTAACACATTTTCCAAAGAGAGTAAAGTACGAGTATGAGAGGGTAGTGAAAGCATTACATCTCTAAGAGCGGTACTACAAGAGAAAAGTCGTTTAAATTTTTTATCATCATTTATATTACTTTGCTTTGGTCCTCCAGTGCTCATAAAATACTTTGCTGACTCCACACGGCATGACCACAGCGAATACTGCAGTGGAGTACATTTAAGCAATGGGCGATGAAGGGCGAAACGTCGACTAGATGTAAAGTAATGCCTTAACATGCCTCACACTACGCTCTAAAGTAATGAAAAGAAAAGAAAAAAAAAGATATCCGAAGAAAAATAACAAGAAAGCAAACAATAGAAAGAAGTCGAACATATTTAAAAAAAAATGTATAAAAGGAATGAACAGTAAGAGAAAAAAAAAAACTCACTGTAGCACTTAAGAAAATAATAATAATAATAATAATAATAATAATAATAATAATAATAAACTGTTGAGAAAGCAAAAAAAAGACTCTATATATTTCCAATTTCCTTAGTATCTGTTATTCTATTCAAGCAATACACAAATACGCCCATAGTTCACAGAAAAATTCGTGGAAACTTCCGTGCAAGAGATGTAGAATACAGAATAAACGGAGGATAAGAATGAGCAAACAATAAAAGCAAGAAGAAGAAGTAAAAATGCAAAAAAAAAAGAAACCATGGAAGGACAAATCGAGAAATATTCATTAAAACCAAGAATTAAGTCATCCTTCGGTATGAAAGCGCAAATTAAACTGAACTGAATAGCAAAGTTTTCTCTTCTTATTTATTTTTATTTTTATTTTTCCTTTTAATTCTTATTTATCAATTGAGAAGAACCATAAAGTTCCTGTGTCTGCCAGGAAAACGGCATGGGTGCATCCATTGTCCTTTCTCTTATATTTCGTCCACTTACCAAATCATTTGAATTAAATACAGAAATAGGTCCACTAGTCGATGGGGACGTCATCTTTGATGTGTTGTTGTGAAAAGTATTTGTCTGTGTAAATCTATAATCTCTCCCAGTGGTATCTTCTTCCGTACCGCCCTTTCGTATGAGATCGTAATGATTTCTGGAAGAGACACCACCCAAATGAAAATCTTCGGGATAAACAACATTAGAGGCGGCATCGCCATATCGTTTAGCCGAACAGGAGGCAGAAGCTTCAAAACAGACGGAAGGATCTCTCGCTGATTTTCCTCGTGGAATACTCACATCTGAATTTTCTTTCCCAACTCCAGTATTGGATGCCACTGGATCATAATAACGATTTTTATTTATAGTAGTATTATTATTATTATTATTATTATTATTATTATTATTATTATTAGTATTATTATGAGTATGAGTATTATTATTATTAAGAGAAGGATTTGCTTCTGGAGANATCATCACAGAGAATAGCTATTCACTTACTCCAATCTGTAAATATTATTAGGTCTAAACTAACACTTACACCCACTTGATTTCTTTTCTTTTGTTTTATCACCTGAGCAGCAGCCGGATAACTTTACCTTTTTATTCTTCTTATTTGCTGCCGAAGAGGCTTGTGAAGGTGAAAAGGTTTTTCTTGCATTTATTTCCGCCCGTTTTAATCGCTCATCCAGTTTTCTTTCAAAGTCTGCTGAGTTTTCACTATTCTTATCCTCTTTATTTTGCCGTTTCTCTTCCCTATCCTCACTCCCTGGATTGGAATCACTAAATGCCACCCATTCTCTAAGAAATGAAGGACCTCCCAAACGACTGTTATTAATAGCCGTGTGAGAGACATTAGGTGGTCTGGCACTATCATGACTACTCTCAGAGTGTCTATCCACATCACGCTGTGGGGATTCACCTTTATCGTGAGAAGTGTTCATTTCTTTATTTCCAGCTGCAGGTCCATTTGGTTTATTATTATTATTATTATTATTATTATTATTATTATTAGTATTATTATGAGTATGAGTATTATTATTATTAAGAGAAGGATTTGCTTCTGGAGACTTTGTACTCCTTAAGGATGATTCTCTTGCTGGACGTAATGCACTTTCTTCCTGATTAGGTGCTGCTCTTTCCAATGCTGAGATGACGGCAAGAAGATAACCCGTATTGAGTCCAATATACCGCCGCATAGATGTATCCGCAACCGAAGAGGCCTGATCCATGAGAGAATTAAAATGAGCATCAAAGTCTTTCTTTTGCCTTTCATATGTTCCTAGTGCCGCATCTCTTGAGGCCACTCGTTTTTTATATGTTTTACTTCCATCCAAACTTTTCTGTTTTTTTGAGTATTGTACTTCCTTCTTTTCCACCACTTGATGAAGAGAATTATACTTTTCTAGGGCTTTTTTACAAACATGTGCTCGTTTCTCTGCGGTCTGAAGGGATGATTGTAAACGATTGACGGGATCCACCACATCTAAATGAACGGCTTTATTGTAAGTGAGAAAATACATTCCATCCTTAAGTCTTCGCATCTCTTCTGTAAATCGTTTCATCATCATTTTTGTTTCCTCATTACAGAATCGCATAGATGTGAGGGAATCAAAGGCAAGACTTACACTTTCAAAGGCATCGCGAAGTTCATTCATAACGCCCATCGTGCGATGCATGGCCTTTTCAAAGCAGCGAAGAGACTCATGAAGTGAACTCATGTCTCTGCATTTCGCATCAAAGTACTGATCCTGATGCATAGTGTTAATAGTTATTTATATAAATAATAATATTATTGTAAATATATAAATATATATATTATATATATACACGTATATGTTTATGTATATATATGTTTTCGTTTTTTTTCTTCTTTTTCTTTTTTTTTCTCTTTCATGTTGTGATGAGAAAGCAAAAAAAAAAAACAAATAGTATGTGTGTGTAGAGTACAAACAGCAGTATCAAGTAGTAAAACTAAGAAAAGGAAAAAAAATAACACTATCACATTATCATTATCAAGATAAATGGACGTATACATTGGAATAGAAATAAAAATATCACGATTCAATAAGAAAAAAAAAACAGAGAAACGACAAAAAAAAAACGAAAGAATATAAATATTCAAAATGCTCATAACATTTCTAAAACATATATACACAGACACCATATATATATATATATATATAAATATATATATATCCCTGTAAGAATAAAGATTATTACCAGTATATTCACTTCTGATCCATCATCACAGAGAATAGCTATTCACTTACTCCAATCTGTAAATATTATTAGGTCTAAACTAACACTTACACCCACTTGATTTCTTTTCTTTTGTTTTATCACCTGAGCAGCAGCCGGATAACTTTACCTTTTTATTCTTCTTATTTGCTGCCGAAGAGGCTTGTGAAGGTGAAAAGGTTTTTCTTGCATTTATTTCCGCCCGTTTTAATCGCTCATCCAGTTTTCTTTCAAAGTCTGCTGAGTTTTCACTATTCTTATCCTCTTTATTTTGCCGTTTCTCTTCCCTATCCTCACTCCCTGGATTGGAATCACTAAATGCCACCCATTCTCTAAGAAATGAAGGACCTCCCAAACGACTGTTATTAATAGCCGTGTGAGAGACATTAGGTGGTCTGGCACTATCATGACTACTCTCAGAGTGTCTATCCACATCACGCTGTGGGGATTCACCTTTATCGTGAGAAGTGTTCATTTCTTTATTTCCAGCTGCAGGTCCATTTGGTTTATTATTATTATTATTATTATTATTATTATTATTATTATTATTATTATTTACTTTATGCTTATTGCTGTTTACAAGTATAGATGTCACACATGGATCCACATGTTTGGGAGTTTCTACAGTATCTTTTGATGATGAGACTTGTTGGGGTAAAATATTATTATTATTATTATTATTATTATTATTATTATTGGATTTATTCATTTCATCATTCCCTTCACATGGGGAATATTCATTTGATATTTCTGACTTTTTCTCTTCCACAGCTGTCTCCTTCTTTACAATAGCTGTATGCCCAGTTGGGAGAAGTGAATTTCTCATCTTTTCTCCTTCTTCTTCTTTCTCTTCTTTTTCTTTTTCTTTTTTATTTTTCTCATCTATTTGAGTTTTCTCTCCTGTTGTATTTTCACTGTAACTATCGAGAAGAGTTTGACAGAGTGTCTGCAGTAATTCACTCACACCGGTATTCGTGAGGGCACTCACTTCACAATAGTGTACATCCGGCAGTACATTTAATAACATAGACTTTACATCCCGCTGAGTTACTATCACATCACCACCATCACTTCTCTTTCTATTCTCCTCTTCCTCCTCTTCTTTATTATTATTATTATTATTATTATTATTATGATTATTATTCCCATTATCATTTACATATGTAGGCATAAGATCTACTTTATTCCCTACCACTATAATATGTTGTAATTCCAACTCCGCATTAAAACTCGCCGCTCTCTCTAAATGAATAGAAATTAATTTCTCCAATGTCTGTCTTTCACTCACATCAAATACCGCCAACACCGCAGAGGCATGTCGATAAGTTGTCGCATGCACAGCGGCATATCTTTCCAAACCGGCGGTGTCCCAAAACTGCAATCGCACATGTTGTCCACGCCGTACATTCCGCAGTAAACGAGAATAAAAGTCTGTTCCCACCGTAGGCACAACAGAGAGAAGATCCATCGACTTCTCATTTCTGTTTTCTTCCACATCTGAATAAGAAGAAGAAGAAGAAGAAGTGTTATGATTTGTTTTTATGGGTGGAAAAGGGACTGTTAAGAGTCGCTTCACAAGAGAGGTCTTTCCAACACTGTATTCACCGACAACGACGACTTTAAATACAAATTCCTTTTCAGCGGTGAGACAATCATTATTATCTTCCGTAGCGGTGAAACTGCTGTTATTATCATTATCCATAGTCTCACTGCCGGGGTTAGTGTCGGTCATCAATGGACCCTCAGACATCTTTTCTACACCTTCTCTTTTTCTATTCTTTATACAGATAGACAGAGACAGATATATATATATATATAAAGAGAGAGAAATGAATAGATAAATAACAAAGGTCTCCCTATCTACTTATCTATCTATCTATCTATCTATCGAACGAACTAATATATATATATAGAATCTCTTATATGGTGTCTTCTCTTTTAAATACCTCGCCTTAGACTAGAGAAGATTTATATGTACACACAGACAGACAGAGAGACTGAGAGAGAGAAACAGACACCTTATTGCTGCATTAGATCAGAGTCTTTAATAATAATAAT